ACAAATTATATACAATCAATTATTAATGCCTTAAATTAGGGGATTTAGTTACATCCTTTTCTTATTTTCTCTCCACACCTCTTTCAATAAGCATTTTCCTTTCTAAATTCAATCAAACAGAGGACCGCGAGAACCATATGAGATAAAATCTACTAATAGATTTTGACCAGCAATCTGTTCCCCTTTCAAAAAATGTAGGAAAAATTAAAAAATAAATAAATATTAGAACATGTAAAGACATTGATGAGAATATTTACCACATCTCCAAATATTTCAAAAAATTGTCTGTACAAGTAATAAGCGAAATTTGGTATTAAACTCTTTGAAGGTGATTGGCTTTTTCATTGAATGGCTCTGTTGAAACATTATACTACTGTCCAAATTTGGATGAAATAAGTTGGATGAAAATCCTCCTCGACTATGAGCAGTAAAGAGTTTTTAGTATTCAGGTGTTTGACTCTCCACCATTGACAGCCATTAAAAAGTTTTGAAGCTTTGAATTCGAATTTGAATTTTCAAAAACCATTATTTGTTTGGATTGGGTATTGTTGCAAATAATTGAGAATATTGTTTGGGGTTTATATCTCAATTTTGAGGGTGTTTGATGAAGATTAGACTTGATTTTGGCTAAATTTCAGATTGAAACTCGAAGAAGAAGAAGAAGAAGAAGAAGAAGAAGAAGAAGAAGAAGAAGAAGAAGAAAAAAGAAGAAGAACACATGACATGCCATATACTTACTAAATTGTAGTAAAGTTGTAGAATAATTGTCACGACCCAATTTCACCTATAGGTTGTGATGGCGCCAGACACTACTGTCACGCAAGCCAACCATAATCAATTTACTTAATTACCCATTTTAGTATTTTTGAAATAAAAATTTCTTCAATGAAATAGTAAAGATAAAACTCATAGAGTAAATGATAAATATTTTTTAAAAAAACTAAATTTCTAAACAATTCACAACCATTCCCAAAACCTGGTATCACAAGAGCATGAGCATTTACTGGGGAATTAAAATAAAATACAGCATCTGTCCAGAATACAAATTAGACAGGAAAGTATAATAACTCTGACGGAGATTCTGTTAGCTGCGGATCGTAATATAGAATGCAGCTCATCTATGTCCCCACAATTATTAACCACACCTCTGAGCCCACAAGGCCGCTATACATATATGTACCTGCACAATAAAATATGCAGCAAGAAGTATGGGTCAATAATATTAAATAATCATAAAAATAGAAATATTTATATCAACGTGATTCACAGAGTTAACAATAATTTTATTGAACCAGCAGAAGTAATTAAATTCCTTCAATTCCAATAATTCTCAATATATTAATTAAAGTCCTTCAATTCAAATAATTTCTAATCTATTAATTAAATCCTTCAAATTCAATAAAAATTCCAATTTATCAAATAGCTTTACAAGCTTCAATTCCAAGAACTCAAATATAAAATTTTCATCCAATTCCATAACAATTTTCGTGGTGAAAAATTAAAAATACCAATTTTCTAGGTTTTTCTTCAAAACTCCAAATTTTTACAAATTTATATGTCTAAATCCATATATAAACAATGTATTTAACTTGCAATAGGTGTGAATTAACTTACCTCTAAGTTGCTAGGTGAATTCTCCTCTCAAGAACCTCCCAAGATCGTCCAAGAATGAAGAAATAGGCAAAAATGCTCAAATCCCCGCTTTAAACACTCACTGCCCAGCGATCATCGCGCCCACGGCAAAAATTTTTGCATCCGCGGCTTCGCACCCGCGATGGATTTTTCGCACCTGCGGATTCGCACCCGCGATGGATTTTTCGCACCCGCAGCTTCGCACCCGCGATGGATTTTTCGCACCCGCAGCTTCGCACCCGCGATGGATTTTTTGCACCCTCGATGGATTTTTCGCATTCCGCGGCTTCGCACCCGCGGTGGATTTTTTGCACCCGCGATCACACCAAATATCAACTGTCTCAACTCTTCTTCAAATTCCAAATTCGATCCGTTAACCATCCGAAACTCACCCGAGGCCCTCGGGACCTCAACCAAATATACCAACAAGTCCTAAAATATCATACGAACTTAGTCGAGCCTCTAATTCACATCAAACAACGCTAAAACCACGAATCATACTCCAATTCAAGCTTAATAAAACTAAAAATTTTTAACTTCTACATTCGATGTCGAAACCTATCAAATCAACTCCGATTGACCTCAAATTTTGCACACAAGTCATAAATAACATAACAGAGCTATAAAAATTTTCGGAACTGTATTCCGACTCCGGTATCAAAAGTCAACTCCCTGGTCAAACTTCCAAACTTAAATTATTGTTTTAGCAATTTCAAACCTAATTTCACTACGGACTTCCAAATAAAATTCCGATTACGCTCCTAAGTCTAAAATCATCATACGGAGCTGTTGGAATCATAAAATTTTTATTTCGGGGTCGTTTTCACATAATTCGATATCCGGTCACTATTTGAATTTAAATTTTATTTTTAATCAAAATTTCATATCTCGGGTTAGGGACCTCGGAATTTGATTCCGGGCATACGCCCAAGTCCCAAATCACGATACGAACCTACCGAAACTGTCAAAATACCGATCCGAGTCTGTTTGCTCAAAAAGTTGATCAAAGTCAAACTTGGCCTTTTAAAGCCAACTCAAGGAACCAAGTATTCCGATTTCAATCCAAATACTTCCAAATCCCGAACCAACCATCCCCACAAGTCATAAATCATTTAAAGCACATACGAAAAGTTTTGTTTAGGAGAACGGGGTTCTAAAAGTCAAAACGACCGGTTGTGTCGTTACAATAATTGTATGTAAATTGTATTCTGTTATAGTTATATATATTTTTTTAATTTGAATGTTGTATGAAAGTTAAAAAATAATTGTATAACATATGAATCGTTGTATAAAATTTGTATTTAAGTTATCAATACTATCTTTTTGCATAAAGTTGTTGATATGTATCAAAATTTGTCCAAAGATTTTACGAGGTTAATAACTATCGTGCGGGGCTAGTAAAGTATTCTGCTTCACTTGATTGGTTAACTTACCCAATAAACTAATCTATCACAAATTAACGAAATATTTAAATCTGCACTAAAATGGATACATCGTACTTACAATTAATATTATACAATTTGATGGTACAACAACATACAAATTTAAAAATAAATTCCGTACAAATTTAATACAAATTGATATATCTACAACAACATACAACTAATTATATAGTATACACTTATTTACAACTTATCTACAACTTTCATGCATTATTTTTACCCAGTTAAAATATATCTACAACATCATAAAACTTAAATATAATTTTCATACAAATTTTATACAATATGTCTTTTTGTATATTTTGTATATGATTTGTATATATTTTGTATGTGGTGTGTGTTTCTTCCTCTCTAAAATTCTAATCAAAACTTTCTCTCTTAATACAATGTTGATAAATATCAATAACTTTATGTAAAATGATTGTATTGATAACTTAAATACAAATTTTATACAACGATTCATACATTATACAACTATTTTTTAACTTTCATACAATTTTCAAATAAAAAAATATATATAACTACAACATAATATAATTTACATACAATTATACTACACCTTTACAATAATTTTGTAAGTATATTGTATGTCATGCGTTTTTCTTCTTCGAGTTTCAATTTAAAATTCAGTCAAAATCAAGTCTAATCTTCACCAAACACCCTCAAAATTGAGATATAAACTTCAAACAATATTCCTAATTATTTGATACAACACCAAATCCAAAAAAATAATGATTTTTTAAAACCCAAATTCGAATTCAAAGCTTTAAAACTTTTAATGGTTATCAATGGCAGAGAGTCAAACACCTTTAAAATTTATTGATTGACAATTTCAATTTGAACACCAATTGTGCAACATGAAAGGAAATTGCTAAGCTAAAACTCTATAGTAAAATGATTGAAATCCATTGATAAATTCTATTAAAAATATATACAACATGAAAGGATAAAAAATAGAGGACATCAGAGGAAGAAAAAATGGGAAAAGAATAGAGAATGAGATATTGAGAGAGAGAGAGAGCGCGTAGGTGAAAGAGAGAGAGAGCGCAGGTGAGAGAAAGATAGAGAAAGAGAGCACGCATGAGGGACAGAGAATAATGATGTGAAATAATTGATTCTTTATTTAATTTTTAATATAAAATAATACTTATTTAATTTCTAAAGTGTATATAATTGATAAATTATATATGATTAAGTAATTAAATTGAAACTTGAGTAAGAGGTTAATAAAGTTTCAAATATTATATAGGAATATAAATTATTTTTTTTAAAATAAGAAAGATTCGGCTAAATCTAATCCAGACAATTCATGTCAATCTCCCCAGATAATTAGCACACCGTTTTAGGCCCACATTCGGTTCTCACTGTAGGCCCCTACCCCATGTGCCATGTGTCCCCTTCGGTATATCCTTCGTCTATGCCATGTTGCAACTAATCCTTTTATTCTTCTAGATTAGATTAGATTAGATTATTCCACCCATTTACTTATTATCCTGTTATAATATCACCGTCTAAAGCAGTTACAATAAAAAATGAAACACCCAAAAATTTATATGGTTTGTATGACATTAACTTACTCTCAATTATAAACTTTTATATTTAAACGAATATTCAATAATTACGATCATAAATTTTACTATATTTTTTTTTTAATTTCATATCAAATCAAACTAGTATATCATTTGAATAAAAATAAAAAATAAAAATAAAAATTTTAACATATGTTTCCAGCAATATAAGATATTTATTCAATATATATAGTATATTATATGTAATGATTTTTCTTTATCCTATCAAATGCCGCTAAATAAAAGAAGAGAGG